TGAGACACCCAAACTTTATCTTGATCTCCAATTTTTAGTCCAAAGTATGCAAAGTATACTTTTTTCTGTAATATTCTGCTGTTGCTTCAACACTGTATATTCACCACAGATGAAACAGAAACTGTCTGGCGAATTAATACACTTTCGCGGAGCCATAACATAACGGTTGAAGAATGACGAGCTAACATGAATTGCAATGAAAAAGTATGAACAGCCTAGAACCAAGAACCTGATGATGAATCGTGCACAAGTGTGGCATGCAGGAGAGAGCAGCTCTGTGTCTGTACACAAGACGTCACAGTGTTGGCCACGCCCCCTGCACTGACCGGAGATGCTGCTCTCTGCCCTGTGTCTCCCTCCCACATATTATAGATTTTTCAAGAGAGTTAGATTTTCATGCAATGGATAAGTACTATTTCTGTAAAAGTTGCAGAAACAAAAAACCCCTTCAGTCTAACATGTTTTTAAAAATCTGATTTTAATGATAGTGTATGGAAATTATTACATAGAATAATTTATCTGTTCTTACATCGTGGGGCCAATTTAGCCACTATTGGTTTTTTTTAGACATGGCATCCTATCGTTTTCTGAAAGACTTTGGGCCACCAAGTGTTACACATCTCTCTTTTGCACAAATTTAGTGTGGTGGTTAAGGTGCTGGCCTAGAACCCAGGAGACCGAGTTCTAGTCCCATTTTAGGCATGAAAGCCAGGTAGGTGACTTTGGGCCAGTTACTTTATCTCAGCCCAACCCACCTTAGGGTGTTGGTGTGAGGAAAAAAGGAGGAAGAGATTTTATGCATGTTTGCTGCCTTGAGTTACTTATAAACTAATAAAGGTGAGGTGAACAACCAATCTGGATTGTATTTTCAGAGACAAATTTGGAGGTTGGCCTATAAAAGTGTTAAACAGTTTCTTCACATTCTCTAGCAAGCACCTGCATTTTTATTCCTTTGCAAACTTTGGAAATCACCTTACAGAAAAAGCAAACAGGTTTAAACAGGCTTCTAAAGAAACACGCTTAAGAAACACGCTTCCACCAATCATCCTGGACTCCCTATTCATTCTTATTAAACATCACTTCCTTCCATTTCCTTGCCAGGACAGTAATGTATTTCAGAGACTACCCAAAAAGGGGAAAAAATGACGAAGGGAGGGAAAAAAAACTATTTGAGGAAGAACATTTCAGGGTTAAGTTTTTAAATATATATATGTTTTTTTAAAAAAATACGAGGGTTACGTCTGATTCAATTCTGCCTGGCTAACCCCTCTCCCCTTCCCACATACGCATCTCCTCCAACGTTTGCAACATTATAAAACAGCAGCACCTATCTTGACGCCGCCCCACCCTTCCCGCACGGCCCAACTACACCTACATTCCAGTCTCTCCATCCAGTCCTATGGCAAGGTGGATGAAAAGGGTGGATCGCGATTCAGCTAGGTTAGGCTTTCTGGAACTGGTAGTCGAACGAAGTGGCAAGTTTTATTGAAAGGCGCCCGACAAAGCGCCGTTCAGGACTACAAAACCCAAGACACCTCGCTTTAGAAGGGGGCGGAGTTGGTTTGGCTCTTGACTCCAACTGGTGGGATTTCCTCCCCTCCTTACGATGTAGCGAAGCTCCTGCTGGTGCTGTGCGCAATTGGGCAGAGTAATTGGGAAACGGTTTGCCTTTGCGAAGACACTCTCTCCTCTCTCGCTTCTCTTAAAGGCGCAGGAGGAACTGGAGTCTCGCATTTTCTTTTCGGATCGAACGAAGATCGCGAATATGTGAAACAATCGGACGACTATTTTAAAAAACGCCATTTTGCGGACTTATTCTTTTATACCCCCCCCCCCCGTCCCTTCCTTTAGGATTTGTGCGCTTGCTTTCTGTTGTTCGGAGAAGCTGGGGTGAGTCGCTTGTTACTTCTGCTTAACAGAAGAGCTCTTTCAATCGGGTGTGTGCCTGTGCCGAAGGGCTGAGCCGAGTCCATGAGATGGCAATCGGTCATTAAAAGTTTTGCACGGGAGCCGTAAATCTGACCATCTGGGTCCGGAGATACTTAAGAAGCCCGATGCTTGTAACTTCGGCGTTTTAACTTTTTTTTTATCAGCCTGAAGAAAGTTTTCTTGCGAATTCCAGGGAACCCGTCTGATCGCTCAGAGGCATTTTGGGGAAAGGAAGGGGGGGGGGGAACCTCGCTCACGTGCAACTCAAGAGAAAGTGCCCGGCGGTCCCTTCTACCTAAACTTTGCAACGTTTTACCATCTCGTTCTTCGCCCTTTCCCAGACTCGCATCTTGCTGGGCTTTTGGAGAGGGAAAAGGGTTCAGGAGGAAGTGACAACCCACCATTCAGCCTTCCGCGCTCCCGCCGCTGAGGGGCAAGCATTCCTCTTCGGTGTCCAGGGGTGACACAGGGAGGTGGCGAGTTAAGAAAACTTTCGCTTCATCAACGCCATCGAAATAATACTCGCGGGAACAATCCACCGCGGGCTCCGATCCCGATTCCTTTCTATGCCAGTCCTTGCGGTGACTTAAAACCCGCCGGGGTGGTCTTACGGCTCCCTGACTTGGAATAAAGGGGGAAGTTAGGGAAACTGAGTCTTGAGGGGTGGATGGGAGAGAGGGGTCCTGCTTTTCTCTCGCCGTCGGCACGGGTGCGGGGTCCCCGTCTTCCTTTCGAATCGGAATCCCGACGCTTTGACTTTGGACTCTTCTCTCCTTAGGTAGAATTGCAATGGCTTCCAAGCTTCTACGAGCCGTCGTCTTGGGTCCCCCGGGATCCGGCAAAGGGACCGTGTGCGAGAGGATCGCCAAGAGCTTTGGCCTCAAGCATCTTTCCAGCGGGCAGTTTTTGCGGGAGAATATCGGGGCGAACAGTGGTAAGTAAGTCGGGGAGGGGGGGAGAGGGAGGGCTTCTTTTCGCCTTTTATTTATTTATTTAGATATTCCAGTACGTGTCTCTTTGCATGCAGGCGAATCTCGGCCAGATCGGCTCCCCAGTGGTAGATGGAATCTGCACGGACTTCTTTAAAAAAATGCGTGTGGATCTGTAGCCCTTGGAAGGGGTGAACGGATTGGCCTGTTTATTTTTTGGGATGTGGGGTGGGAAGTCGCGGGCATGTGCCGTTTTTAAAGAGTTTTGAGCCTGCTATTTACGGTCTGTGTTTTTGAGTATTGACAAATTAGGATTATTGGCAAATATACCAGTCAGGCAAGATAAAGATTAAAAAATGGTACTCTTAAGGACTTGTAAAGGGGAATGGAATAACACTTGGACTGTCCATTTTGAAACGCTTTGATCCGAAGTGCCTGCCTTACAGCAGGGTAGAATCAGTTGTATTGTGTGTTATATATCTGTTCCTTCATACAGATGCATTTGATTCATGTATATCTAGTAATAGGCTAATAAAACAACGCGTTCTGTGTTCCTTGCTAACACAGTGTTACTTGATCCTTTCAGTCTTTTAAATAAATTTGTAAGTATCTCCAGAGAGCTTTTAAGTTATTGGACTGTTAGAATTAGCTACAATCCTTCACCATTTCTCTGAAAGTGAACTTCCCTAAACTTAATAGGGCTTAGTACAGTACATGTGCATATACTACAGCTTAGTATATGCACATGTAAGATTGTGGTGTAAATGAAGTAAGTTTAAGAACTTTTTTTGAAAATAGATAATGCTATATGCATATTTCTCAAAGTATTTTTGAAATTTGGAAGAAATAATCTGAGTAATCCAGTAGTTACTTCAGCAAATTTAGCATTAGGCATTTAGTATTTCTAATTACTAGGAGTTAGAACAACAGGTTGTTCTCATTGAACAACTGTTGATATAAAAAAGTAACTTTATGGCCATCATTCTGTTTATAATCTTTGTAGGTGCATAAAGTAAAGTAAAGTTGAAGTAGGATTGTAAGTACTGTCATGATTTCACTTAGTGATCACTTCACTTAATGACCAAGTTGTTGGTCCCAGTTGTGATTTAGAAAGGACTACTGTAGACCCTACTGTTTCAGCAAGATTTACTATTGAGTAGTGAGAGTAGTTAAGGGATGTGATGTCTCAGTGGCTAAGATGCTGAGCTTGTCGATTAGAAAGGTTGGCAGTTCGGCAATCCCTAGCGCCTTACTTGTCCCAGCTTCTGCCAAGCTAGCAGTTCGGAAGCATGTAAAAATGCAAGTAGAAAAATAAGGACCACTTTGGTAGGAAGGTATGATCACAGAGGTGTCTTGGGACAGTGCTGGTTCTTCGGCTTTGAACCGGAGATGAGCACCGCCCCCTAGAGTCGGGAACAACTAGCACATATGTGCGAGGGGAACCTTTACCTTTAGTGAGGGGTAGGGTTATATTTCAGGCTGTCAAAGTTGTCAGATTTGTGTCTGCTCTTCTTTGGAATTTGGATTTATGCAACACTGTAGCATTAGCCATACAACAAGCAAATATAGGTGCTTATTGCAAATATCTGGTTAAAGAGCCCTTTGGAGTCTTACTTGGCTTTTTGTGTTCCATCTTAAAAATTGTGTTCAAGAAAATAGGTGGACAAGGGAAACACTGTATTGGATTAAATCAGAAACAAATTGATTTAATATAGTTAACATGATTAGTCTCTGGGTGATGAATCATTTTTCTGTCCTTGTGTTACAAATAATTATGACTGTGCATTTTATAACTACCTTAGAGCTTCATGCAAGCCTTGATTTGCTGCTTGGGCAATAGATTTAATTTAGTTTGTAAGAAGCTATTATTTTGACACTTTCTTCTGTTGGAAAGCTATGGAATTATCTAGAATTATATACAGTGATGGTGATGTGTACATGTAGTCTTCAACTTATGGCCACAATTGAGCCCAAAATTTATGTTGCTATGTGAGACATTAGTTAAGTGAGTTTTGCCCCATTTTACAACTTTTCTTGCCATAGTTGTTAAGTGAATCACTGCAGTTGTTAAATTAGTAACACTGTTGTTAAGTGAATCTGGTTTTTCCATTGACTTTGCTTGTCAGGAGGTTGCAAAAGGGGGTCACAGACAGTCGTCATAGATGTGAGTCAGTTGTCAAGCATACAAATGTAAACATGACCATGGGGATGCTACAAAGGTTCATAAGTGTGAAAAGTGGTCCTAAGTCACTTTTTCAGTGCTGTTGTCATTTTGAACATTCACTATGTGAACTGTTGTTGAGTCAAGGACTACCTGTATTTCTAAAATTGTGCTTTGCACCCAAAGCTTTGTTAGGCTTGCAACTGCTGTAATTTTGACTGTCTATAGCAGTGTTTCTCAACTTTGGCAACTTTAAGTCCTGTGGACTTCAACTCCCAGAATTCCCCAGCCAGCTGTGTTGGCTATATCGGTCAGATAAAACATTTGTGTGATACAGAAAACTTGGATATATATTTGAAGAGATTCTTATTGCACATGGCCAACTTGTGACCTGCTTGAAACTGGAAGAAACCACAATTGGCCGGTTTTGCACCAAGTTTATAACTGGTAGTTTACAAGTCTTAATGGTCAAATTCACACACAAACCACAGCCGTTCAGATCACATCGTGCACCCAACTTATAGAAAGCTGCATTATCATCTATTCTTTCTGGAACAGAAAAAAAGCATGCTAGAATTCTCATTAAACTGGGACAAGAAATAAATAAAACATTGACATTGAGACACCAAGAAGTTATGCTATATATTATTTTCTCTGGTTAAATAAAGGACAATCTTTTACTACTGCTTTTAACACCATCCTCAGTAGCCATAATTCTATCCCATTTCCTATTCTGACAGACAGGGCTGCTATTATAACTTGATTCTCCTTGAAATTCCTTCTACCAGTGAGGTATCTTGGAAGGAGATCTATTTGTTTTTAAACTTTACATAATTTTTCATATACCAATATTCTGTAGTTGAACATTGTTGGCCTTGAATTATAGAAGTGAGAGGTAATAAATTCAGACTTCATTTAATAAAAACATCCAAAGTTTTAATGTCATGGCTTTTTGACCTTTTCCAAAGAGCCAATAGTTGAGACTGAATAGCCTCTGCTGTTTGATTTATTATACCTCTCTGCTCAAACCAAATTTGTGTAGACTTCTCTCTTTCTCTTTTTGTATATAAAAATTATTGTAAAAGAGCGAATGTCACTGTAACTAAAAGATATAAATCGCTTTCTCTCTGTGTGCAAATGATTTGATTTTTATCTTTTGGTTGCAGTGACATTTGCTATTTTATAATAATACCAAGCTCAATCTTGATTTCTTCTACGTCCATGCATATGGACATATATGCATTATAAATCTGTGTTTAAAGACGTCCTATAAGCACAATAATAAAATGGAATATATCTCAACATTGGTGCCATTTAATAGCCAAAGTATTTGCAAACTTGGAAAACTGCTTAAATCAAGGAGATCTAATGTTCAATTAGTGAACTCCTTCTATACAGTACTCCTGTCTCTCATTTCTCCATTTTCATTCCCCCCCTTTCCTCTTTTCAGCATTGGCTATGTATATCTATACTTTTAAGATTATAGTTCATATAGTGAGGCAGTATGCTATGATACACAAAAATTGATGCTAGAATAAAGGTGCTGCTCTTGCTACAAGAGATTAATATGGCTATTTTTTATTATTTATTTTGGAAAGGAGCTACTTCTTAGAGATAGTGTTTTGTATTTTGTGTTGCTTGCTGCCTGATCTTAGGGAGGAAAAACGTGTTTTTTCTTGATCTGTTTTACTCTTTGGTGGTTCTTGGATGTTGCTATCTTCATTGACTCTTCATTGGGGTTCACATGTGACTGTGGGATACCAAGGTACTTGTAGCTAGTCTGTATGTCTGCTTATGGTAGTCTCAAAGCTGTTTTATCCAAGAGGCAACTGAACTTTCTTTTTTATCAGAAAGTCCAATTGCCTTTTGAAAAAGCTCCTTTGGGACAACCATGACCTGGATGACTGAGAATCTCCATAGACATTTGGTGCACTGGTAGATCTGCCCCATAGTCTTAATTACCTTTCTTCTCTATACTATCATCCGACCAGAGCTGAAAATGCTGCAGCAATGGTGCCCACACATCTCTGTGGCAGAACATTTTGTGCCCATATAGGCCTTACCAGCCACCTGCGGACACATCATGGCCGGCCCACAACCAATTAGATGTCAAGGTTCTCTTCGAACATGATGGACAAACATCATCATCATCATCATTATCCTCCAACCACATTTTCTAGTCCAAACCACATCCAAATATCCTTACTATTGATCTGTGTCAGTGGATCAGCGAGTCCCTCAATGTCTTGTTCACTCTTAACATACAGCTAGATGTCATCTATGTAGAGAAGGTGACTATTAGTAATTTCTTTGCTGGTTTGTGACCATAATGGAAAAAAAAAGCAGTTTCAGTCTGTGTGTGTGTGTGTTTAAATTCTCATCTAGTAATGATTTATTATGAAACCATTTTGAAATTGTAAGATCTAAAATGACCATTATAAAATATTTTCTTTTACTCCCAAAAGAACATTACAGGTAAACATCATCAAGAATCTTTATTGTGACTTCCAGGAGGAGTGGCTGATTTTGATAGTTGAGCTATAACATTCTTAGTGCATTATTTAATTTGGCTGGTATTGCATTAACCATAACAAATGTGCATGTATGGTTATTAATGTACAAGCTTGTTAAATCAGTAGCTTGCTCTAGTTTTTCCCCCCAAGGTACAGTGGTACCTTTCCCCTGGTACAGTGTAGTATCAACTATCTCCCAAAGGAAATAAGATGTTTTAGCTTGAAGATTTTAGACTACTTCACAATGGAGACAAAACTGTATTATATATTTAAAACAAAAAACTAGAATTGGTAACAATGTTTTTAACTTTATTTTAAAATAGCAGTTGTC